CGCTGAGGCGGGGGGAACGCGCTTTGCCAGTCAGATCCCGGGGAAACCAGGGATGGCTCTGGAGGTGCTTCCTGAGGAGCAACTGTGGGCCCCCGCGCTCAAAATTTTAAAGTATTCTGCTATTCCTGACACAAGCCAGGATGCCATCAGCCCTTTTGGCCACCCACGCACACTGCTGGCTCATATTCAGACGGCTGTCAACCAGTACCCACGGATCCCTCTCTGCCAGGCAGCTCTCCAGCCACCCTTCTGAAAAGCAACCTTTAAAACTAAATACGTTTGACCTAAAGGCCTCTGCACTCCATGATTCAGCTCCATCCACATCAGAAGACAACACCTACGGTATATCAATACTACAAGAAAAATACAGGAACCCTCACTTGCCACAACCATAGGAATCTCCATTCACGACCACCCTTCGGGCCCAGCCATCCAGCCAGTTTGTTACGCAGCAAAGAGTGTGCCTGTCCGGGCCATGGGCAGCCAGTTTCTCCAGGAGAATGCTGTGGGAAACGGTGTCAAAAGCTTTACTAAAGTCCAGGTACACTACATCCACAGCCTTTCCCTCATCCACTAAGCGAGTCAGCTTGTCATAGAAGGAGATGAGGTTAGTCAAGCAGGATCTGCCTTTCATGAACCCATGTTGACTGTGCCTGATCTTCTGGTTGTCCTGGACATGCTGTGTGATGGCATTCAAGATGATCTGCTTCATGACCTTGCCCAGAACTGAGGTCAAGACTGACAGTCCTATAGTTCCGGATCCTTCCTCCGGCCTTCTTGTATATGGGTGTCACATTTGCCAACCTCCAGTCAAGTGGAACTTCCCCAGTCATCCAGGACTGCTGATAGATGATGGAAAGGGGCTTGGTGAGCACCTTCCCCAGCTCCCTCAGTACCCTCTGGTGGACCCTGCCTGGCCCCATAGACTTGTGTATGCCTAATTGGCTGAGCAGGTCACTAAACATTTTTCCTCTTGGATCATGGGAGCTTTGTTCTGCCCCCTGTCCCTGCCTTCTGGTGCAGGGGGCTGGGTACCCAGAGAACAGCTCACCTTACTACTAATGACTGAGGCAAAGAAGGCGTTAAGTACCTCAGCCTTATCCTCATCCTTTGTCACTATGGTTCCCCCTGCATCCAGTAAAGGATGGAGATTCTCCTTGGCTCTCCTTTTTGTAGTTAAAACAAAAATAAAATAAAATATATAATACTAAAGCTATGTTGTTCCATCCAAAAAGCTGGGCATCTCATAAGGCATGAAATTATGTCATATGCCTAAAAATGTGCAGGTTCTGCAGGGCTTTTGCAAAAGCAAATTAGCAATATCGTAATGGAGACTGTGCCACTACATACACAGCCTGGGTTCTTTCTTCTTGTCCTTTTTATTCTGTTCTCACGGTTGTATTTGTGAAAATAAGAACTTTTGGTTTCTTCAGATTCCTTCTGCTTCTGGACTTTGTTTCCTTCCTGAAGTTCCTCCTGCTGCTGGTGAGGTAATGAGTGCCACAGCAGCCAAGCGCGATCTCACAAAATTATGCGCTGTGTAGATAATGTCAGGGGAAAATTATTTTTAGCAATAACAGGAAGAGGAAAACCCATGAAATAAATAATTTCCCTCTCTCAGCAAAGTCCCTTGAATATCAGGATATTTTAATTAATAGCCATCAAGCCAGACCAGCTCATTTGTCGTATGCTGTGTCTCTGACAGAGGCCAGCGCAGACACAAGGACTCCTTCAGCAAGCAGCTTGGAAATACCTTTCCATTAGAAAGTTTCTACTTAGCTCACTTAGGTAGAGACTAATATAGTCCTGATCCATGAGGGCTTAGGTTTTACATCCCTTCCAAAATTATTGGTCTTTTGTTTGTTTTAAGCATTCTAAGCCTTTTCTGAGAGTCCCAAACAAGTTTGGAGTTTTTCACTTTGAATGTGAGCAGGAGAGGGCCCTAGTGAGAGTATAATATACAGGTGCTGTGCAAAAAAAAAGCTCATTTAATGTCATACTGAAGAAGGAAGTGTGTTTTAATTTTTATCTTCTTATAAGGTGAGGTTAGTGCTGGTGAAAGAAAATGGGTTCCCAGTCCTGAAGGCTGAAGTCCTTTGCGTCCCACTTGTGAAAGCTTTCTTATATAATACCTCGTAAATATTTCAAACATTTCTGTAGGATCATTTTCTACTGGCCAAAATGTAAGCCATTTTTCACCTCTGTAAGATCTTTGCCCTTTTTGCTTGCAAGAGGGTTAACTAAAATCTTTTTTG